CATGTACACTAACACTAATGTAAGAAGAAGTTTCATTAAACACACTTATGTAGATCACAGATTTCTGCAAATGGTAAAGGCCTATAGTAAAACCAGAAATCTAACCTAAAATCTGAAACTTCAAATATAATTTCACTTTCAAAGTCAATCTGTCTTACAGCACTGCTTCCCAATAATAAAGAGGTAAGTTCCACTGTTAGCTCTAAAAATTGGCATTCTGAAAGTACTAACTATTGAAATGAAGCTGTTTCCTCTCATAATATATAAATATTCCACAGAAACTCAATTCCAGTCACCAACCTGTATAACACACCAGGACTATCTGACAACATGAGTCAGCATCATTGACCAAAACACTTTCCCTTATTCCAGGCATAAAATTCCAGGCATTAATGCTCTGTATTTATTCACAGGGCTTTCAGCTCCCTTAGTCTGGCATTTTGTACCATCCACTTTAATATACATCTACATAAGCTTGTTAGGGTCCTGTTTCCCTTTAGAAATTTTAAAATGTGCTATTTTTCCAGTATGAGCTTGCTTCAAATGGCTGTGACTGTCCCCTGGGTTGAGGTAAAAGCTTGCCAAAGCCAGCAGCAGAGGAAGTAGAGGCAGTTTGTGTCCCAGGCACTGGCCAGGAGATGGTGGCAGAGAGCAGCTCTCCCTCAGCCCCTGCAGCGCTCACGGGAATCCTCAGAGACCCCGAGGTGCTTTGGACGCCTCATCACTGCCGCACAGCAATCTCCTGACTTGTGCCATCAACTTTCTTTTTATATTTTAGGATAACACAACAAACTCAAAACATTGGTTAACATCCAGTTTGTTCAGTCAGATCTAGGCACTTGCATGAACACACTACAATACAAGCTGGATGCGCTCAGCTCTCCCTCTTCTGCTGAAGAGCCAAGTTTCTTGACATCAGTTTTGGTAGTGATAAAAATCAAACATTTTCTGGAGCCATTATTGCCTAAAATGTTAATGCAGTTTACTTTTTTCAACTGTGATCGATAGCGGGAGGAAAAGTGCCCATAAATTACTAAAGGCAAATACGATTCTATTAGCACTCAGGAGATTTTGCAACATTTGCCAGTCTGTTTTACTGGAAAAAAAAATTAATTTGTTGAAAGCCTAGTTTTTTACCTGTCTTTGTCTTTCTCTGTAGAAGAGGGATATTTTTATCAGGAGTAATTTAGGAGATGCAATTCTAATGCACTATAGCTATAGGTTTCAATTAATGTTCTACCTCTGTCAGCTTTACATTCCATGTTTTATGAAATTATTAACTATTGTCATGTTTCTATTATGATACTATTAGGAAATAAAGAGATGTATGTAAATGGAGATGTAAAATAAATGTATGACAGTTACTAGGAGCAACATCTGTGCACTATCATACGTGTTTACACTAATTTTCTAAAGATTCTTCCATTCATTACAGAGCATTGTTACTTGCTCTGGCACAACCCTTATTTCCATGCATTTAGGGATTCAAGCAAAGAGAGGGTAAATGAGAGCCTAATCAATACCACTTTTCATTTTGCTTCTAATGTGCTGCCTTTCTCTTTCTTTTCTTCATGAACAAATCCAAAAAAGATCCTGACGTTACAGTCATAAAATGTAATTCTTCTGCAGAAACACAGACAATAATGCTCTCTGTATTCAGGCATATTGCATATTCTAATGGCATTTGGCTAAATTGAGTATGGATTTAACATCAAAGGCTTCATGAATTTTTCAAATGAGATATTAAAGTCAATATTTCAAGTGAAAGATATTTCAATTTAGTTGCATACACAACAATAAAAAACTTCTACAAGGCAGAGGTACTAGTGGCTATGGCAGTATTAGTTCATTCAGGAAATTATTAGTTTATAAGAAAATCAAACAGAAGGTTGTGATACAGCAATGACACTGAATAAATTAGACTAACAGATACACACTAACGTACTTTATCTCTTGAAGTCTGAAGCAGAACTTGCTACTGGCATGTTCAGTCCTTCAAGCAGGGCTTCATTTGGGGATACGTTATTTATTTATTTATTTTGTGAATTCAAATGGTTCCACCTCAATTTGCATTCAGAACCTCAGAAATCTGCTTATATTCATCATTGAAATGGTTAGGCCTACTGTATGCAAGAAACACCCCAGCTCTCTTTATTTTTTAATTTAAGTGCATTTTGCTCCATATTGTCAACTCTTATGCAATGCTGCTTCTGATTTCCCACTGAGTTACAAAACATTCAGACTACTCAGTGCTCACAAATAGTCCACTGAGCTCTGACTACTTCTATGCCCTGGCAGAGATAAAGACTTAAACAAAATAACACAGTCTGGTCGTTCTTTGCCTTCCTATTTTGGGCATGTGGAATGTAGCAAAATGCCCATTAAATCAGGAGGATGTTGGATTATGATACCGTTACATATCTCTGAGGAACACATATGTGTCACCTACAACTCCTGGGAGAGCTGGATGCCCCACATACATGTGCTCCTAGTGCAACTTAGGCAGCTGCACCACAGGGGCATTGTGCTGCTCTAAGGCCAAATACACCATTTGTTCACATACAAATAACAGAAGATACCAGAAACTACAAATATATACTGCAATGAATACCGATTTCACTAGTAATTCTTATATTACTAAATACTAATTATAATTGGGTACGAGGGGAAAGTTACACTGATTTAAAACCTTGACTATTAGGTCGTTTGGGCCAACAAATTATTACAAAGAATTCTGATCCTAAAAGCACTTCCCTGAAATCAGCAGGTTGTTTGTCTCTGCAATATTCAGTCAAAGTGTTTGCACTTACTGTGAGACTGCTCCAAGAGCTCACAAAGAAAAAAAGCTGGTGCTAACTAAAGGTTAAACTGCTAGGCCTGTTTCTACCATGGCTGCAGGAGTGACAGCAAATGCTGATCTGTAAATCAGGACTAAACAAAGCTAACAGCCTCGTGGGGAACTCTTGGACAGACTGGGACAGGCCATCCTTCCCCCATTTAAACACTACCTAACTTGTAGCACTGCTCTTGGGGTCCTAAACAGCTCTTTGTTCACCTCTGAGGCTCTTCTGAAGCTCCGTGTTCAAAGCACAGTAATATTTCCATAAAATGAGAAGTGTCACCATCTCAAAGGCAATCAATCAGGGACAAATATCTTCAGAAACAGTACTCCCATAGAAAGTATTTCTTGTGGTAACAAAGGTAAGGCAGAAGCCTTGTATAGATAATAAGAGCCAATAATAACTAGAATTGTATTTTCAAAATTGCCTCTGGGGCTGGGGAATATGGTTTCCTTTTCTTCTCTTTTGATTTCTGGACATCTCTGAGATTGTTCTGAAAACTACAATTCATGCTTAGTGAGGCGGTAGTACATCCAAAAACTTGCAGTTGAAATTATTGAAATTTTGCTTTTTCATGACATAAAATGACGCAGTTAAGAGGAAAGATTCCCCCATTATGTCCACTCTGTCTGAGAATAATGCTTAAGGAATGATCCTCTGAATTGAAACATTTCCCATTTTCCTTGTTGATTTTAGGGATGCAGATAAAGTTAAGAGTACATCTCTTGCAAGATCTGTGTCAAAATGAGAGTTCAAATTCTTCTTTAGAGCACTGCTAAATAAGCAAAGAATACTTGGAGTTCAGATCAGAAGAGGAGACCAAACTGTAGGATTTAGTCTTCGACAACCAAATGCTATACCAAAATCAAAATCATTCACATATCATGCTGTACGTACCTTTTGTGTTTAATGTAAGGTTTTATTGAAAACATATGAGTAGATTAACCATAGAAATAAACTGAAGAAATTGTGCTACCTAAAGTATGCTTTTGAATCTTTATTAACTGGTGATAATCTGCACTGATTTGCATTGCAATTCCATTGCAGATGTTGCTGACATTAAGACTTATGACAAGGAAACTACAGAAAAAGCTGATTTAAACAGGTATTTCACATTAACTCAACAACATATGCAGCGCATAACATCTTCCATGGGGGTTTTAAGTATTCAACCTAATTCTTTGCAATTTCATTATTGTTAAAAATAAGGAGTAATGAAAGTCCAGTTGACAGTCACTTGGTTTCCTCTTATTTCTAAATTTTTCTGATTTGCTCTTGAACTTTCCTTCTTGATGGAGTCTAAAGGAACTGTAATTATGTAGTTTGGCTGAAACTCATGGCATGGGAAGGGACGGTTACATTTTTGGATCTACCATTATTACAGCAGGAGCAAGCACAGCTGCCTTCAGACTTATTAATACATTCTGTAGAGGATGAAAGCCTTGGAAAGGGTGGTACTTGTGTGAATTTCCTCCCCCTCCATACAACAAATGGAGGGGGAGGAAATGGAGCTGGCAGTCCACCAAAGCTCCCAACTAACACTCCTGCACTGTCTGGCAGTAGAAAGTGTGGCAATTGATTAAGGGGAAAAATAGTGCTTTTGGGGCACTGCACAGAATCATCTTCAACACAGAGAAAGAACCATGAAGGATGAAGGACAGAAAGGTGGGGAATGTGTGTTTGACTAGGTGAAGAAATGATCCCGCTGTAAGGCTTCTTCTTTCTGTTTGTTATAGGCCAGGTCTACAGCATTAGCTCTCCATCTAGGTAGAAGTAAGATACACCAGGACTCTCCACAGATTCTTTAGTCTATATCTGCATTTATTGTGAAGTGTTAGGTGGTTCATAGTGCCTGTGATAGTCCTCCAAGCTAGGTTGGATTTTACATGTTTTTACAGGGTGACAAAGCAGGAAATACCTTAAAAAAACACAGTATTAGTCAGTAGAAATCAAAATAAAAAGCTCCATATAGGTCATCTGAAAAGCCTAAAAAGCAATCAAAAACCAAACTCTTACCAGGCACACAAGAATAGAAACAACCTCAGTGCAAAGTATAATAAGCAAACTCCTCTAGTAACGTCAACTACACAGATGTTTGCTCCATCAACTCAGTCCATATTTTGAAAGCCGCACAAGATCAGTGAAGGTAACAGAACTTACCCAACTTCTGTAGTTCAGCAATGAGCCCTGTGTGTTTGTCAGTCCAGCTCCCTGGAAAAAAGAAGTGTTACATGTCAGGAATGAGTCTAGCAACTATCTTCTAACACAGGAGCAATGCCAGCAACATTCTGGTAATGGCAGCATTAATGCTAAAAGTTTACGTTTTCAAAAGTGAAAACATTCACAGACACAATCTGGATATTTTAACTGTCACAGGCCTCAGCAATCTGATATTGCTTAGCCTTGTGGCCAAGGCATTAAGACACTGGTATCTATCTGCCACAGAGAACATATCTTCTCAGTACTTCCCTTAGAAACTTAATAATTAATCCACCAAAATTAGAAAAATAAAAACAAAGGCCGTGTCACTATTAAAAAATAAGAAACAAATAAAAAATTTACTTATTTTGCTAATAATAGATAATGAAAATATTTTCTACTTTACGGTAAGATCAGAAAACAACATAAAGCTGTAAAGTTCTACAGTAATTCAAATTCATTGAAGTCATTATAAATCCCAAAATGTAGAAAATAACTTTAATTCATTTACTTGGTCAATCATTTAAGTTACCTGTGAAAACAAAGCAAAACAAAACAACAAAAAAAGGGCAACAAGTACATACCCACATAAAAAGGACAAAGCATCTACTATATGACTGTAATCAAATGCAGGTTTGTACCAGAAATATAAATAGCACAGATTGGAAAAATACTTGAATAATGAAGTATTTCATGCAATTCCAAGGAAAATTAGATGAATGACTGAAAAGGATGGAAGTGTACACAATTCATTATATAGAACATGGTAACACTTGGCTAAAAGAAGTGTGGAGTTCCTTACTTTAATGAGCACAGTCTTTGCTCACAAATTAAAAATAAACAAATAAAAAAGATACGAGTATGATCTCACTTATTGGCAGTTGATCAAACTGCAATTTTGCCCAAGAGCTGGGAAGCCACTGCCTTATAACACATCAAGAGCTCCTGCATATTGAACTGATCTGTGTACAGACTAACTCCTTTTCTGTCTACAGCAATTGTTTTTACTATCAAAAATTTGGGTTTATGGAAATGACAACTTAATGGTTAACTGGAAACATAGCAGGGTGTTTAAGTTAAATCATGCTCACTTGACTTCAGTGTCTCATTGTACCCCCACTGAATAAAATTATTTTATAAAAAAGTTTCCTTTCACTGAGGGTTGTACAGCTGGTCCAATCTCAGTGCAATGCTGCTGATGTTAGTAGCAAACTTGAATAGCTACATACAACAGTTTAAATCTCTAACATACATATATTACCATAACTGAACCCAGCACTTTCCATTAATCATACAATGGCATGCTGCTTCATTTACAGCCAGCTGATTAAAATACAGATATACTGTCCTGAACATCACAGAAATCACGGACACCCAGCCATTGTTTCCAAATAGTGTTTTCTCAGCCTTGTTTCACTCCTCAGCTACATATTGCAGATTACAAAAACTATTAAAGATTCTAGCAAAGAAATGGACCACAAAGGATCCTAAATAAGAGATTGAAAGGCATAAATTTTCTGTTACAACAAGGATAACACTTCAGGGAGAAAAGGCCTACTTCAGTGTTCTCTACCCTATTACTGCAGCATTTCAAACATAATCAAAGAACCTAATTTGAGGTTTTGATAAGGAAAACCTGAAAATAGCTTGATAAGATATAGGTGGAAACATGTAGCTTTAAATTTTTATTTACATGGGTCCAAACACCTAAGAATGCTTGGAAAACAGGCACATCTACGCTGAAAACAAAGTTATTTGAGAGTGGGTCAACAATCTACCTCTCAAGTCACTTATCATCCAAGTCTGTGTGAATCTCACGTGACTCTTACTGAAAGAGAACGGGTAAGACCCCAAGTACAGCTTCATCTCTGACCTATGTCTCTAAACATATCATTTACTCAGGGATTGTATCTCAATTCAAATGTATAATTTTGGAGTATTTTTCAGAAGGGACGCAATGGATGTATCACTAAGCTTCTAATTCTATAAATAAGGCAAAGTCTAAAGCACCATAAGGAGTCTTGCACACCATCGGACAGGATTAGTGATTATTTCTCTAATACTCATTGTCTACCAGTGCATATATACTGCTACATATTTAAGTTACATGTTTATAATTATAATTTATGTACACATTTCCACAAATTTTCTTGGAGAATGGCATTTTGGTGTGAACTGAATGCAGAACGAGGAACCAAGAGCTTCTCTGTCATTCCAGTAACATGATCTTGAGTTTGCAGCCTTCAGCAAACCACTTTCCGGCATTTGTAAAATGAAGATATAAACACCTGCTTGGTTACCTAGAAAAGAATACTGGAAAACTAGTTGGCCTTCACAACCAAAAGCCAAGTCTGAAAAATTCACAGTGAATTTGGCAAGGAAATATTGCACAGTGCACTGCAATCCCAGCGTTGCTTTGGCACCTTATGGCATTTTTCCTGCATGATTTCCAGGCTGAGTTTAAGTTTGTTTGACTTCCAAACCTGCAGACAGTTATGGCTGTTAAGCTACAATCACAGAATTTGTCTCTCTGACTTCAGGAGGATTAATTAGATGCCTAAAGGTAAGGAATTGACCAAATGCTTGTAGAATGAAGACTTCATTTGGTGAAGGGCCAATTTTCCCAATTGATAATGTATAAATAAAATAATGCCTAATTTGCTACCATTACTAATGCTTTATATTCTATATAATTGGAAGCAAATTAGCAATTTATTTTAAATTGTTTACATACAAATCTTATTTTCTTTAAGAGTAGAAATCAACGGCCATTTCTCTTCTAATTTCATGATGTCGTTACATATCACAAAGACTAAGCATAAGGGGCTGTTTATTTTAAATTATCTCACTATGTACTGAAGTTCAACATTTGATAAAACACTACCCAAAAGAAATAAAAACAAGTAGATAATAATCAAATATAATCTCATATTTTTATTAATGTAGGGCAGTTTCACATTTGATGCATATACAAGAATTTCAAAGAATCTTTTTTAAAAGTATTTTGAAGATACTGCTTGTATTCTCCATAAAAATGATAAGAAAATGGTTCATGTAACTGGCAATGTTATTAAGTAATATATATAGTTAACATTACTTTTGTCACCGTATTCCTCAAAACAACCTGATCCTTTTTATTCAAAAGGAAGCAAAAAAGTCTCACAAATACCAGTTAAAGACCGATTCTCTCAAAGATGACTCAGTGAAAAATAATGACAGACTGTTAAGACCTTATATTTGTGAAACATGAAACAGGTCATCAGCAGGAGTCCACAGAAATCCAGCTATACTGTTTTCACACCAAGGGTCACAATAGCTTGATTTTCTTAAGGTTCTTGGTTCTCTCTGAGCCTCACTCCTCAGCTGGACATATGTGAATATCATTCTGGGTCTATCATAAGTTAAAGCATAATTATTTGTGTGTTACAGTGGTATGGGCACTTGCCACAGTCAGCAAAAGCAAAGTTACTACTGTTGATCACGTGTCTTTCAGAGCTCCAATTCTTGCAAGTACCATGTCACCACATCCCTGTGGAACGGCACATGAATAAAAGAGGCTTTTTGTGAGGTACACAGTGAAAACAAAGCCCATCAAGGCAGATAAATTCTTCACTGCATAGATTATCAGACCAAAATATCACAAACAAATGGAAGTCAACGGAACTTTCCAAGCTTGTGGGCCGAAGGAAAATAACAGGAAAAACTACCTTTCCTGCCTTCCTGGATTTTTTCAAATGCTGGTATCACCCACGTTTCATCCCTAACAACAACATCCTATGCTTACTGTCAATTCTTCTCAGTTGTCCATAACAACTACATCTATCATAATCTGGAAAAGCAAATCTAAAAAAATTATGTCCTTTGAGTCTAGAACACAAGACCTTTTTCTTCAACTACTCTTGGATTAAGTTCCCTGACCTTGACTGAGCAGTAGGTGTTGTCAACAACTTCTATCCTGTGATGACTGAAGTTTGTCCAGGATACACAAATCTGTTAAATCCTTACTACTCCTTCATAGAAGACATCAGTTCACATAGAAATTATTTGCAAGAATACAAATGACCTCATTTGCAGTCAAATTAGGAATAAAACAAAATTTAGCAACTGCAGAATAGTTTCTAGGCTCCTCTCCAACCATACAATGGTTGGATATATAAATGTACATGGCTTTCTCTCATCTGGGGGATTTATACCAATCATGAGATTTTTTGATATTACATGCATTTTTCAAAACTCCCTAGAAATGCTGTCCATAATTTGAAAGATAATATAAAGAATTTTATCTGTTAATACACTCCACTTCCCAAAATGCAGTGGCACAAACACTGATGTCCAACATACTGCAAGGGGGAGTAACATTGAATATTCTGCTCGACAAAAGTCAGGCTGCCTAAGGAACACTCTTCCATGCAGTTCTGGATCCAAGTAACTCCAGCACTGTCTGTTTTCTAAGAAGACTACATCCTTAATGGAAAAGCTGCTAATAGCTGTGCGTTCATTAGACTTGGAAATGGAGAGTCACTCCTCTAGCCTGGAGCCAGAAGGTGGGCTATCTTGGAGGCAGGGTTGATAGCTTTTGAATACCAGATGAAGTCTATGGATACAAGACTGGTGTCAAATGACAAGAGCCTTAAGCAGATGGATGACAGTGTGTGTGCACTATAGGCTGTTGTTAATTTACTAGCTAGAGATAATGCTTCTATAAAATTAAAAATGAGTCACTGGAAAACAGCCTGAGAGGCCATAGCCTGCAGATTTCAGGCCTCCTGGCAGGCCTGCATTGTGGGGGATATGTTTTTATAGAATTATTAAAATTAAAATTGCATGTTAGAGAGAAAGAAAATGTAATTGTTTCTCTTACTAGCTATTTAAGCTATTCATAGTTTGGATTTGTTATTCACAATTAAAATGGAATAAACTACTCATAGGAACTCAGACAAGATACACATGAGCAATGGCAAACATATATAATATTAATGAATTTTCAAGTGTCAATATGTGGGGTTTAAGTC